CAGCATTGCTTGGGTGTTGTTCTTGATTTAGAACAGGTCTTCGATCGTGTTTGGCTCTAGGGCTTGTTTTGGAATCTGACGAACATCCTCCCTGAAGCGTACCAGACAGTGGCGGAAGCATTGTACCGGGATTGGATTGCCGGTAACGGCGATCAGGGTAGGCAGTTCGGAGCTGAACTTTTTGCAAAACTCTCAAAACCATTTGGATTCAGACGACAACGGACAACATCATACCACCCCCAGTCCAATGGGACAGTTGAGCGCTTTCACAGACCAGTAAAAGCCTCGTTAATGGCAATTCTGAACAAACCTCATTGTTGCCTAGCATTGCCAGCCATGTTCGGACTGCGAACATTAGTGAGAGAACACGTCGGTATGGCTCCTTGTGGATTAGTTCACTGGCAAACAATGTGGCTACCAGGAGAGTTTATAGAAAAAGCCGTGACTCCTTAATCGGAACTCTTCATCCAACTCCGCAATTTATTTGTCTCTTGCCGACCATTTCCACCACGAGCGGTCAGGAAAAAGAATTGTTTTGTGGATGAAGGATTAAGAACAACATCACGTCAGTAGATGCTGTTCGACCACCTCTCACTCCGACCTACGAAGGACCTTTCAAGATTTTAAGCAGGCTGAGATCAAAGCTGACGAACCGATTTTGCTGAGTCTATCATCGAAACTAAATTTTCACCTTACGTACGTATTAGGGTGGGTGTTCCTCAAGGAAGCCTCCTTGGCCCATTTCTTTTTTCAATAAACTCCGCACGTATTCCTATTGAAGAGAAAGTGGCCCAGCAAACTTCCCAGTGATTGATTAATGACGACGTTTTAGTACGATGGATTGTTGTCACGGGGCAATTTCTCATACAAGTGACTCAAGCGACGCAATCAGCATAATCTGAAATAAGAAAAAAATTACTCAATACCATATTTGTAGTTGGAAATAATAAATAAATTTAAAAAATTGTTCAGAAGCAATAGTGATGATATCTTTCTTTCTCTCTTTCTCTCTCTCACACACACACACACACACACACACACACACACACAACACCACACTCACGCGCGCGTGCTTGTTTGTTTAAGTATGGTACAAATAAAACACCAATTAATAACACTAACTTAGTTAATGTAGCCCACGGACTTAATCTATTCGGTTGTCCAGAAAATAATGCAGGTTTATGTTATAAATTAAAAACAATTAAATAAATGATTTCAAACACTTTTTTATTAATTAAAATACCCTCTATCACTTTAAAACCACTTTTCCCGATGTGATCGCAACTTCTCTATATCCTCACAACCAAGATCCAACAGTTTTTGTGTTGTCACATTTGAGACTCTGGACCGACCGTTGTCGTGTAACAGAATCGGCCTTTTCCAAAGGCCAAAGATGGCCAATAATGCCAATTTCTGGTGTATTGCTTCAATTTGAGAGCAATACATTTCGGCATCGATTGTTTAGGATTCAAGCAGCTGTAGTAAATCAGACCAGATGAAGCCCAACAAAGAGCCACCAGATGAGTTGGGGGCTTTGGAAAATGTGGTGTTGTTTCTCCTTTGTCGAGCCACTGTCCAGAACGTCCATTCTTATCTGTCCATTTTTAGAACTGTGCGCTGTATTTTGGTGGGCGTTCATCAGCCACTTTCTTCTACGCCTTTTGGTTACACAAATTTCTCTTTAATTCGTCTTGTAACAATTTTAATTTGAAAGATGATGTCTACTTGGCATAGGCGATCACTTGAAAGGCATGCGTAGGAGCTGTCCGATATCATTTGGTGCATTTTTGTGCAGCTATCCTATGTGGTTTGTTCAGTAGAGTTTTACTTTAGGTTCTCAGGTGCTCAGGCTGCGCCCTCCTCTTCTATACATCGATAAGGTGTTTAAGGACTTTTGGGCTCAGCCTCCTCGTCCATCTTGAAATTATCTAGCTTGGCAAAGGTGAACCGCGTTGTCTCTTTTATTTCGATGACGCGGCAAGACTGGCTTTTTCTCCTAGCTTTTTCGCCAGGTATTTTACGCTATTTCTAGGCTCTATGGATTTTTCTTATATTTCATGAAGGCTGCGATCTTACGTTCACCTTTAAACATAAAATATATTTGACATATTTCTGGTGTTATCCTCAGGTTTGATTCCTTGCACAAATTCACTATTTGTATTGTTTTTTAAATAGTATTGGCACGATTATTGTATGTTAATCTAGAAAGGCCACGAATCCTACCTACCCTAATCTCCTAGGATTTCCAGTAGGCCGTATTAATCCAGACCACTATGGGCATCTTCTTATAATCTCTTGCCGCTACTTCTCGTTCTTCTTTCCCTGTCTTTGAAGAATCTAGCCATATTTCTGAAAATTTTTGGATGTGCTGCATTAAGCACCAGACCGTGTGCAGCTCGGAAAGGGTAACCCCAGGTGGCTGAAATGCATCGGCCTGGGTCGTCTCGCCGAGCTCCTAGATAGAGAAGACGACTCTATCTCCCAAAGTATTGGGGCTCCTCCAGCGTAAGAACTTCCGGATCCGTTCCAGCCGCTGTTTTGTTTAAAGTGGAATGTCTAACCACCCCCTAGAGGAACACTGCCCTCCGAAGGAAACCGATAACGGTACCCCCGAGCAACAGGTTCCCCCTAAGTTCTCACCAGGAGCCTCGCCAATAAGCCACTACGAGTCCATTCCCATGTAGCAGGGTTTGGACTTAGAACATTCTGCTACCCCACTGGGGTCGCAATGTCTTATAACATTGAGGTTCTTTAGCGTGCGCACCTGGCCGATTAGGCCTTGTCACACGTTTAAATTCTCAAGTTAGAAGTGACTCACCTCCGGAAAATCTGTTTCTTCCGCGAGGTTCGGTGTAGAAGCCCAAAAATCCACAGACTAATCGATAGACATGCCGACTTCTCCCGCTTGCCCCTTCCGAGGGGGTGGGAAACTTTGTGTGCGCTTAACCAGTGCCGCACATAATGGGAACCGACAAAAGTGGCCGAAATGCATCAGCCAAGTATCCGAACACACTCCCTAGATAGAGAAGACAACTCTATCTCCCTGGGTGTAGGGGCTCCGCTAGCGTCGAAACCTCCGGATCCGCTCCGGCCGCGGTTTCGATTTTAGTGGAATCTCTAACCACCCCCTAGAGGAGTACCATGCCTACGGTTAAGGCAACCCAAGAGTCAGCCACCGACAAGCACCCGCCCCCGTCCACCATTCCTCACGCATTCGCGGGACGCCGGCAGCGTAGTCACAGCTCCTCGTTGGCTATACGCTCTCGGCAATCCGTTCCGCCGATTCATGAGGTCGGGAGGTAATTCGGAGGCCGTGAGCAAGTACTACGGTCCACGGCCACGAATGAGATACAGCCTCTTCTCTAAGTACCCGCCAGCCAGGGGTCGTACCTCTAAGCCACTGCGAGTCCTTACAGACGCTGCTCCGCAGTACAGATGTTATCCACCCTCCCCCTCCGTATATATATTCAAAATATCTATTTAGACAGGATCTGGTACACTAACCCACGTGTGCCTATACTACGGCACCCGCCGTTCGCGGCCAGCTCTCAAGCCAGCACTCCCTTAACGCATCTCGAGGGACTAGGTAGGCGTAGTCTCAGCGTCCTTGCACGCTATACGCTTCGTTGGTCCTGTCATTCAAATGCAAGCAGAGCGACCACACGCGCCAGGAAACACGAGCCAGCTTGTGCTTTAGAGAGTTCGTCACGCTCTCAAGGCTACACCTTTATGTTGTACCTGAAAACCCCCCTTGCAGCCAAGGGTTGAGAAGGGTCTACTGGAGTCTCCTAGGAGCACCCACTAGTCCCAGGATTTGGATTGAGAAAAAAAATTTTCTGCTACCCCATAGTTCAGATGGTTAAGCACCCTCCCCCGTCTATGCAGACAGGATCTGGTACTGACTGGTAACACTGATGAAGCACCCGCCGTCTGCTGCCTACCCAGAGGCTGACACGAATCCAGCTTGTGCTTCAGAGAGGTTGCCACGCTCCCAAGGCTACACCATTACGTTATGCCTGGATACCCCCCGTGTATCCAAGGGTTGGGAGAGGTCTCAAGGAAATAACCGTAAGACCTGGATTGAGAAAGGAAAATGACTAAGGATACGAGGCTCACCTTCTCAGGTTGCACCACCCGCCTCGGCCACACTGTACCACCCATTGTCACCGTAGTCCCAGATTTAATGGGGTATCATTCCTCTGAGCGGATAAAAGAGATGAGATGGCCGTTCAAGAGTCGAACGAATCGTCCGCCTATCCCGACGCCGTGGATAAACATCGACGAAAGACCAGGACACCAAAACCAAATTTACACTCAAAAAATTGATGATGAGAGTAGGGTGATCCATGCTTCATTATTCACTACTCCTTTTTGCCTAGAGGTGAGACCATTACCTCTTCATCGTACCGCAAGGAAATTGACGAAATGTATAAAAAATTACTCCAAAAACAACCTGCATTGGTAAATCGAATTGTCCTATACTCCAAGACAACGCCAGGCCTCATGTTTCAAAACGTACTGTAAACAAGTTGAAAGGACTTGGCTACGAAGTTCTTCACCACCCACCTTATTCTCAGACTTGTCTCCAATAGATTTTTCACCTGTTTAGGAATTTAGACAACATACGTAAAAGGAAAAAATTTTGAAAATGATCAAGTCCAAAAAGTATTTGCAGAATTGTTTCATTTCAAAGCTCAGAATTCTTCAGTTCCGGCATAAAAAAAGTTGGTCTCGCGTTTGGAAAAAATCTGTAAAATATGAAGGTAAATACTTCGAATAAAATTATTTTGTTTTTATATAGTAATTTTACTTAAAAACTTTTACCTTGGAAACGGACATTTCATGTGAAACAACCCAATATCTATGTATGTAGGTACCTTTGCGGCTGGGTTGCTTGTCGGCAACGTTTTGACCAAAAATGTATAAAGCCCTGAGGGCTGTTGACAGCACTTCATCTCTTGATGGATCTGCTCCTGATTAATTATCGTTTCGTGTTCCAGGTTTCGAAGGTGTCTCAAGATGGCCGATACTGGCGCGGCAACGTTCGTCGGAAAAGTCTTTTTCTTCATACAGAAGCAGTGTTTCGTCACTAGGACGGAGAAGGTCTGCAACAAGCGCAACTGGCGCGGCAAGTGTCAATCGAGTTCCTATGATATCGTAGCCCACGTCAGGGACAACTTCGTCTTCTGAACGAGTGGAAATTACTAGAAAGTGTTACCCAGTCTAAGTCCTAGGGTTCTGAATTGTGAACTTCGCATATTGACGACTACCCCGGTCGTAAGGGGAAATTGTTAGTCGGTTTTTTCCCCTTTGTACAGACGTTTATATTTTTGTAAAAAATATTCATTAAACGTTTATAAAACAATTATAGTTTTTAATTAAATTTGCTGCATTGTGTATAATATTGTTCTGTATTTATTTATGTTTATTTTTAAATGGCATCAGCAAGGCTGCTTGTCAAAACAAAAATATGTGAAAATTTGAATAAAGTACTCTCACACTTTCATGAAATATCTCCAAAATAGTTTTTGTCCTTTTTAAATAAAAATATTTTAAGTTTATACACGAATTTTGTCAATTTTATTTGTATTTTTTGAAACCTGTACAGCGCCTGCCATCTATCTTTTAACTTGGGCAGCTACACCCAACGTTCCAAACTTTTGTAATTAAAAATTAAAAGAAAAGGATGTTACCCTTAAAATCATTGAAAAGATTGAACTAAGCATAATATTCATGCATAATTCAGTTAATATTTCATGAATTATAAATAATTTTTTAATTTAAGCAATTATAAAGTTGTGAAATTATGTTACAATTCTTGAGTTGAGTGATCACTCACGTTAATATCCGTTCATTACATTATTCAATATTGAAAAGCAATTATAATTCGATAATAGTCAATAAAAATGCCAGTTTTCAATTTTACAATTACTTATTTATTTTTAAAATCCTTTTATGCCTTCCAATATTATTGCTACTAGTATCAATTTAATAAGTGCTATTAGTGCCATTTTAAATAGTACTTTGTGCTATTTGTGTGTTGGCTAAATATGTTTCATAAAATAAATAACTTTGGAAAATTTTATTGTTTCTACAGATTATATCCCTTTGACACCTTTTTTCTTTCAGAACCTAGCTCTTGAGGGTGGTAAAGTATAGAGTATGGAGAGGGCTAAATGCGTTCACCCTGGAAAAGACAGGCTGGACAAACTTCACATATTTATAAAAAATTTGCCATGTGTAGGGACCTCTTCAAGTGAAATAAAAAGACTCCATGACATCCAAAACCGAAAAAAATGGGAGCCGCAAGGTTGCGTTTATGTCCTTAAAGAACTTATATACTTAATGAAAGCATTACAAATAAAATAAATTTATAACCCTTCACTGATGGAAAAACACAAGAGAACAACTAGATTATTAAAGACAGTTTTACAGCATTAAATTCCCCTTTGAACCGTTACTTGTTCAACTAGTGGGTCTGTCTACACTTGAAGGTTTTAGTGTATGCCATCTTCAGTTTGGAACTGTCACAGTTCATGTATTCACCAGACCAACACCACCATCAACTTTATTCACAGTCTATGTCCACACTTGCTTTATACAGACTATCTTGTCATTTTCACTAGCGATGACTTTTGCCACAAATAAATCATACTTGACTACACAAGATGTCACAGAGACTTAACATATTCCATACAAGTGTTCCAACATATTTGATAGGAGCTGGATATGTTTGTCAGACTTCCTCACATGTTGATTTTTTTTTAAATTAAATTTATTTGTTAAAACTGGTCTTATTAGACCAACCATTAATTTTACAATAATATTATAGAATAAATAAATGTTTACATTATTATAAACCCATTGGTACAATAAGATTTACATTTCACTATCCACTAATTTTTAACTAGACTAGTTCATATGGCTTTGTTCTTTTTAATCTTCTGACCATGTTTCGGTTATGTAAAAGTTTGGTCGCTTCCACATTCTCGTGCAGGCGAGCTGGTGTTTGGTGGCAAATCTTTGTATTTCCGCCCTGACTTCAGGGATCTTAAGATCCCTATGTAAGTACTTATTCCTTAAGTACCAAGGTGCATTGACCATGTTATGTAAGATTTTATTTTGGACTGTTTGTATGATTTTGATATTGCTGTGTTTGGTACAACCCCATAGTTGAATACCGTATGTCTAGGTAGGCTTTATGACTTGTTTATATAATAATATTTTATTTTGTATAGCAAGATTGTAGCCACGTCCTATCAACCAGTATAGTTGTCTATACCTTAAACCTATTTCTGTCCTTTTTTTCTTCACGTGTTCTTTCCATCTCAGCTTGGCATCTAAGGTCATTCCCAGATATTTAGCGGTATTGCTATATGGTATAGTGGTTCCATCGATTGTGAGCGACGGAACACGGTCCACCTTTTTGTTTGTAAAGATTACATGAACTGATTTTTGCTGATTTAGCTTGATTTTCCTTTTTTTGTCCATTCGTTTATCCTATGACATTCATTTTGGAGGATTTTGGTTGAATGGGTGATAGTCGGTCCTAGTGATATCACCGCTGGGTCATCTGCAAACATATTTTCGGAAAATCACTGGTGTATAACAAGTAAAGCAGTGGACCTAACATGCTACTTTGTGGCACTCCTGCATTTATTGTATTTAATTTTGAATATTGATCTTCTTGTTTGACACTAAACAGTCTGTCAGTTAGGTAGGAACTGATAATATCGACATACTGCTTTGGTAGCACACCTTTTAGTTTATTGATGTAACATGTTGACTGAAAACAATTTATTTTGTAGCCTTCCTGGACGCCCTAGACCAAAATAACCTAGTCTTTTTCAACGATGGATCGCCTACAAAAATTAAAACCCCACATATCAAGAACTCGTCTTTCGACATAACTATGGTCTCCCCAGAACTAGCTGTGCTGGCTGATTGTTCAGTATACCATGACCCTATGGGCTCCGACCACCTCCCAGTCTTCATTTCTCTCAACAATCTCCCAATAAAACACTCTTTTTGAAGATGAAGAGTATGGAATATGTGTAAAGGTAATTGGGATACCTACAGAAACACTCTTTTGCTTAAAAATGGGGATCCAGGAAAAAAATAATTTTAAAGATTACTGACTTTGAAGAATACCTGACGCTAGCCTGTGAAGCTAGTATCTCGAAATACAACACAGAACCCTCCCATAATTATACAAAGATCTAGTGAACCTTAGATTGTAGCAACATCATTAAAAAAAAAAAAAGATGAATAGCGTACAGGAAATATGTTTCAAATTCCAACATAGCAAACTAGAGAGTACACAAGGTGGCATTCACTGGCCCAAAAGACCATCCGAGCAGCCAAATTTGCCTCCTGAAAGTCCTTCTGCTCATCTCTTACCAAGAGCACCCCCATAAAACTAATCTGGACAAAACTGAAAAAACTGCAGATCATAAATGCTCTGCTTTCCCATCCATTGTGTGACTTGGGTAGTAGGTTTTATCAGCAGCATAAATATATTTGTATTCTAATATTGGTATTTATTACACTATATGTTATTATTTTGTTACTGTCATCGTTTAATATTTCAATGTTTTTTATGTTTTAAACGTTCTTTGTCCTTCTTGTAATTATTGTCATAAAATGAATTATTGTCTGTAAATAAATAAATTTATTGAGAGAGTAAATTTCTGGAAAAATGCTCCAAACAGATCATTAATTCTAGTGTATTATACTTTCAATTGAATTTAATGATTAACAATTAATTAAGGTTGAGATAAAAAAGTCAATGGCACGAGCGGGATTCAAACCCACGATCTTCGGCTAGATACGCCGCTGCTCTACCACTTGAGCTATCGTGGCCTCGATCCACTCGGATACCAACTTCCCATCTCAACCGCACCTTTTGAATATTGCCTCCTTTTTGCCATTTTTCATCCCGCTCGTGCCATTGACTTTTTTATCTCAACTAAAAACCTTAATTAATTGTAATGTATTAATTGGTCAAGTGGACCACAAAATTAGTGAATTTAATGATTAACATAAAAATACCCCATATTCGCTAAACACAAGAGTTTTCCACTGGGTTATGCTCATCCCTTTCGTGTCTTTCAGGCCATCAAAAATTGTCGAAGCCTGGCTGGGATAAGGCAACCCCACCCACCGTATTTGCCTGCCATTGTCCGTTCAGATTTTCAGGCACTGAAAAACTTTATTAATTGGAACAAATTTGATTTAAGTTGTCATTAAAAGCATCAATGACTCAAAAATCTGAGCACTGGGAGGACAAAATCAAAGTTACATGGAGATGGTAACAAAATGGTTCATAAATTGTTGATTAATTTATGCTTACAAGCCTCTGAAAATTGCATTGAACTTACCATTACAAAAAAAAAAAAAACACTACGGATTTATTTTATACCCCAATAGATCTCCATGTCTGATTTTGTTTCATTCTTACAAAAATACAAGGACTCTTAAGGTCGAGTTACTTAAAAATTGACTCGGTACGCGATGCACACAGTCCCTGAACATCCTAAAAACAGTTTGTTCTATAAATTTGTAAGATGGAATGTAGTCAAAGTCCCCCCAATGTGTACCATATTGAGCTTTGTGCTGCGACTGGTGAGCCTTTCTCAATTTTTCAGTCATTTATGTATGATAAAAATACCATAAAATACTAGGAAATAACCATTAAAATATCTATTCCTTCATGACCCATTTTTATTGGCACAAGAACTACAAAGGTACATTAGAAAATTGTTCCCTGTTGGTGTTACTAAAATTGCCATTGCTTATTGTTCACACTATCAAACTTCACCATTGACTTTTCAGCATAATATCATTTCCAAAAATTGCCATCATTGCCAAAATTTCAGATATTCTATTATTGCACCTGCTTTTTTAATTTATTTTGCATATTAACCATTTTAAAAGAATAAAAAATCTTCTTGTCAGGTTGAATTAATATATTTTATTAATTCAATTAATTATACTTTGTATGTAAGGTCTTGGTTGAAATTAAAAAGTTAGGATCGCGAGCAGGGTTCGAATCCCGCTCATGACACTAACTTTTTCATTTCAACCATGACCTTACATATAAAGAATAATTAATTGAATTAATAAAATCTTCAGACTACTAAACATAATTGATATTTTATTATTTGCGTTTTTATTATGAATATTGATTATACATTTGTATAATAAATATTATATAAATGTATAATTTTTTTATTATGAGGGTTTGCAACAGCAGGGTTCATATAAACCTTCGGGGTAGCGATGTTTTTGTAAGAAAGCCCATTTGTAAGTAGTCGAATGCGGGGCTGCTGGATTCGAACCCAGGACCTTAGCTCTTACAGTATTGAGCAATTTTTTTCATTTTATTAGGTTTCGAGGTCCGCTTGACCAAATAAATTCTTTTCAATTAATTAAGGTTTTGGTTGAGATAAAAAAGTCAGCATCACGAGCGGGATTCGAACCCACAACCTTCGGCTAAATGCGTCACTGCTCTACCACTTGAGCTTTTTGCATTTTGGTCATCTGATAATTAATAAGTAAGCTAGTTGGTTATTTTACTTTTACTAGAACAATTGTGAAACTTTATAAATTCACTTTTTTTTTTAACTGTTTATTACCATGAAAACATCCTACTACCATTTTGCTATTGTATAATCATGTATAAACATATTTTTAAATGTGTTTCGGTATTTCCTTTCATTATTCCTCCTTTCCCCAATCCACTTTTGTTCTTATTTGTCATTGTATTGTTTGATAAATTATCAATTTCTAGCATATTTTAGTAGAACATAATTTGCATATGGTTGTGTACAATCAGGCTGTAATAAATTAAATACAGATATTCGAAGTTTATTTTTTAAAATTAATTTTAGCTTCATTTGGCTGTAAAAATATTTATATATAAATATATAATATAAATATTTATAATTATATTTTTGTAATCTTGCTAATCGGTGAGCTCAATTTAACTAAATAGTGAGTTATTTACATAATAAAGATTTCTTACTGTTTTTGATAAAAATTAGTGTTTACTTATTATAATGTAGTATTGTAGCTCTGAAGAGGGCAAGGGACGTGACCCAAAAGGCCTAAGCAAGTGAAATATATTGCATAAAAATAAATTATTGTGTTTTATTAAAAAAATAACCAGCATAAATAAATATATTGTTGGAATTGGTGCAGTAGGACAGTATTACCTGTCTTGGCTATTTGAACTTGGAGACTTCAACTAGACTCTGGTGCTACAATGCAATTAAGAAATTCCATAAAATTACATATTTTTTCAATTGCTTTTTACCATAAACACACCCTCCTTATGCCATTTGGTGTCCAATTTATGAACATATTTTTAAACCTGCTACGGCATTTCATTTCGTGCGTACTTCTTTCAGCCAATTTTATTTTGATCTTATTTGCTTTTGTATTGTCTGACAAATGATACATTTTTAAAATAAAAATAATTTCTTGCAATAAAAAACTCTTAAAATTGAACAATATCCAAACAAACTTTTTGTATATTTTTCGTAATAAACAAACTGCCTGATATACCATACACTATTTTTATTTATTTTCCTACTACTGGGATAATTTTTAGTACCTAGTAAAAATTGGACAAATAGAGAAAATCGAACAAAAACGATATTCAACTGCCACTTCATATTTAATGTTGTTATTTTTTATTTATTTTTTAACTTGAAATCTTCCAGCCAGCTCTGAAGAAGCGCCATTCTTCCGCCGTTCGCCGAAGAAAGGAGTGAAGGCGGAGGCGGAGCCGTCGTTGGAGGGGGCCGGGAAAGTAGAAAGGCGAGCCGGGCCGGACCCACAGTCCTGTTCCAGAGTCCCTTTGGAGGAGAGAGAGAACGGCGGCAGCGCGAGTGCGATCCGCGATATACGAGTGCAGTGATGAGTGAATGATTTTACACTTATATCGGATTCGATCATCACACGATTCACCTAATAACCAGGGGCTTCATCAGGCAGCCGGTGAGTCAAGGCACCAAAAAAAATTCCAACCCAACAATTTAAATTTTATACCTGGCTTTATACTTTCTCTCCTCTCAAGAGCACTACTTTCTATCCCAATCGTAGTAAAAACTTAATCATTTATAAATCATATTTTGTACAATAATTTAATTTGTCAATTACATAGGAATTTTATGCAACACATTATGTTACTAAATACATATATACTTTGTAATATTTATGTTTTTTTAATTTTTGCCATATACATAATTATGAATTACAATTCAATTATATTTTAAATAATTAACAAATGTTTATTTCCTGCCCTTCAATTATGTATATATTCATAAATGTCCCAATGCGTATAGAAAGTTACTGCCATATCAAAACAGAAAAAAAATTACCTTTCTGTTTTTTACTAATTTCATAGGGGAAATGTTGGTTATTTTAGTAATATAATAATAGTTTCATACAGTATGATACGTAACAGAGGGGTACAATCAGTAAACGATCTTTTTCTGTAACTATTTTCGATTTTAGAAAGATAAGCTCGATGAATAAGCATTTAAGTCAGTAATAAATACTAAGCCCTCAAAATGCGCAACGGACATAATAATAACATTGAAATGTCCGAGTAGTCACCGTCTTAAGATGTGGAAGGTTGTTATCTTTGAAAATGTTTTTCCGCCCTTTTCAGTTTTTCATGTTCAATGTTCAGTGGCAAGACTTGTTAGATTATTGTTAAAATTTGACTTTTACACGAATCTCTACGATGACGTCCCATCAAATAATAGTTACATAATTCAGCATAACACGACAAAAAAAACCTGTTTTGAATTAGGAAAAACAATCAACAAGATTGAAGTGCAAATGATCTGTCTTCCTACGGATAAAAACAAAGTTTCCAAAATGCCATTATTTTCCAAACGTCAACAATGATTGCAGTTGACGATCAAGAATAGCTGATATCGCTGGAATCAAAGGCGATCAAAAATAGCAAAAGCTAAAAAAAAAACAAAAAAAAACACAATTAGAACAGAAAGGCTCAGAAAAACCATCGAAATCGTCGTTTTATCTCTTATAATTAAAAAATTTAACGTTTATAAATTACCTATGATTGAAATTTTTTATTTAAATGCATAAAATTTCTGCATCAACGTACGTTTTTATTGAACTATATCAATCCGAATGAAAATATTATTAGAAAAGTAAAATAATTATTATCACCTATCAATTTGTTTTTTATTCAAAAGCATGTTTATCTCCTTATCGCGTTAATAGTTTTCAAATGTAATCATATCTCTGTACACCGTGATATTCACATAGTTCATTTTTAGACATTTCTGTTGACACAGCAGTCAGAAAGAGGACACTTTTCGACCTACCATAGGCGTTAGGACGAAATCATACTTAGCGAATCCTTTTTTACGGTCTACGATGGTTCTGCTCCATTTCATGAAAACCATAAGCCCAAAGTTCATCGACCTGTGGATAAAAAGATATCCCCTTCTCAGAAAAAATTGATTTTCGTATTATGCCGATTTTGCTTCTTGCCTACTCTTCACTTTGTCCGGTTCTGAACGTACCCACATTCAAAATTCCAAAATAAACAAGATTTATGATGAATATCAAACATCTTCCTCTAAAACAAATAACTATACTGTTAACTTTGATTTCAGTCACAGTGTTTGAAAGTCTAACTTAAATAATTTATTATTTACGGTACAAATGGTATCTTTTGTCAAGCAGGTGACAGCAACGTAGGTTATACCCGCGACTACAAAATTAAAACAAATGTTCAAAATTATCTATAAAACAATTTAAAGAAGCAAAGTTAAATAACGCAAATAAGATGGGAGACTTCTGGCAAACATTTGAATCAATGTATCACAGAGGCAATGAAAACAACTTTATATTTAAGTCCCAGGATTCATTTAAGTTCATGCATACTGTACCGTTTTAAGCACTTATTACATTTTCTTTACTATTTACGTTTTATGTTATTGTCTTTTTAGAATTTTCTATAATTAACAAAGGAATGGCGTGTGTGTGTGTGTGTGTGTGTGTGAGTAATTTTTTTAACTTTTAAGAAGTCTTTGTTGTGTACGGATTTCAAAGTTATTATAACATCAGGCGAGCCATTTTTTTGACGTAGGAAAAGAAAATAATATGTCAATTCGTATGAAATAAAAAGATATTTTTTAAATAAAAATATTCATTGCGAAATGCCTCCAATTTTTTGAAAATCACAAAAATAGCGATTACTTTAAAACGATTCCACCTATCCACAGGAAACTTTTCTCGTGTTAAGAATCCTATAACCTTGGATTGCGAAAATAATTCCGAACCGGAGATAAAAAGTAAAAAGTTTGTGCAATTTTTTTTTAAATTTCATTATTATTGATGTAATTTATAATGACATAAAATCCAAACGTTGTTCACATAGGCTGAATAAGACCCAAAGTATTCTATGGCTGGATTCTGGTGGACCGAAGCTCGGCTGAAAACCTACCCACACACTTTGCAGCATACAAACACTGGCTCTATATGTAAAATATAACAGGGGCAATGAAAACATCACCGTCAATTGCACTAAAAACACTGCTACCTCCATTGGAAATATTTATATAAGAAGGAGCGAGGAAAATCCCATTTGGACTCCAGAAACAGCCAAATTGGACGGGAACTAAACACCGCTCGTATAACAATAATTAATAAAATCAGACACCCATTTCTAGAAATGAGGACTGACTACATGATCTTAGAAACAATCTGCCCAGCATCTTAAAGTCTCAACTTACTACAAGAGAGAAGAAGAATTCAGAAGGAAATCAGATACAATGGTATGGCATACAGATGGCTACAAAACAATCAGCGGTTTTTTGTACAAGACCAAAACATAACCAATCAATTATGAAAGTAAACCTCGGTCTTTCAAGCCTAATTTGTCTAATGTTTTAAAAGGTGTAAACGATGTTTGTGAGTTATTTTTAATTCCTGTATATATGAGTTTTTTGGTGTTGAATGTGTTATGTTTATATATTTATAAATCTTCGATAATATTCATTTTCTTTTTATACTTTGTGTACTTGTATCGTACTTGTTTGTGTTGTCAATGGTTCGTGGTTGTTTTCTGTTAGGTGAGTCGATTAATTCGTTTTTCGTCGTCGTCCCTAAACGATTTGATATGTTCCTTGTATCTGTCTTTTATTTTTCGTTGTATCTGTCCGATGTAATTGTTTCCACATTAGGATGTTTGTGTGTATTACGTGGTTTTTCGAGTTGGTCGGTCTTGTCGATATTTTGTATTAGTAATTTTCCTATTGTCTTTGCGGTTTTTAGTGCTGTTGTTAGGAATAATTTGTTGAATAATTTAGTGTGTACGTTTCTTTCCCACTATATGTGTCTTTTTTTGTGTGCGTGTTTTGTTTATTTAAAAAAATATAAGGATCTATTTATAATATTATAAATTACGGTCTTAACCGTAATGAAACTATGACTTTAGCTTAATAGAGTAGGCGAGATCGAAAATACAAGCAATTTTGATTCAAAGTCCTGATGAAGAGGATATATCCAAAGCTTCACGAAGGAACTGAGGAAGTTTCTTTCAAATTCGCCTTATCCTTAATTTTGTATATACAATTATAATATTCAAGTATGTTCCACTGTTTTTTCTTCCTGTTTATATCTGCACAAAATTGTTTCTGGTGCTCCGAGTTAATACACATTCTTCCGGAGTCTGCGATGTCCAGACCTACTGTTCTAGTTCTAACACGTCCTAGGTTTAGCAGTTCTGCCATAAGTTTCTGCGACGGTTCATTAATGAAATTTTTCTTTTCTGTCCTGAAATCATTTCCCATTAAACTGAGAATTAATTCAAACCCATCGCCTGATTATCTATCTACGTTTCGGGCAATTTGGTATGCCTCAAAAGGGTTTAAAGCTCAATTTATCAGCTTCCTCGTTATTTCTATGCCCCGGTACAAAACAAGAATAACATTGTTTCATGTCCCCAATGTCTGACAGGGTCTTGATGCAAACCAAATATATCCGGACTTTAAGTGGTCAGCTTTAGTGAAGCTTGGCTATCCTTTGTTGTTAATATTCTGCCTTTGAATCACCCTGGCACAGTGGTCACTCACGTCTCTCCTGAAAAACATTGCCATATTGCCCTTCATCACTGGACAAACGATTCAACCAATAAATTATTTCTTAATGTCCTATTGTCTTCCAAGCGACAACTGTTGTATAAGAATGTTATCACCCATCGCAGAAACGAAAAGAAAATCAGTTCAATTTCAGCTTTTCCAGAGCAAACATGTCGATAAAAATATGTAATTGATTGTTAAATTGTATCCTTTGGTGAAGCAATAAATTTGAGTAAAATTTTCTTTTCATAAAGCATGGTTTTAAGGCGAGATCTTGCCGGGCAGTTGGTCAACGAAATAGCCAAATCCTGGGTGTGCCGTGCTCTATGATCCACGACGTTCTACACTTGTTTAGGACCCCCCGGATGTCTCGATCAAAAAGGTAGTGGTCGACCGCAACGTACGAAGGCTATAGAAGATCGCTGTATGCTCTTACCGCACTTCTGAACTATCTTTAATGAACCAAACGGTCCGTAATGTAAGGGTGAGCTCTATAAAACACTGATCAGGAGGCATCGGTACCATGTGAGGAGAAGACGTGGAGAACACATTGTTTCATGTGCCATAGCACTTTTAAATAGTAAGTTATGGTACTGGGTAGAATGATGGATGGTCTAAAGCGGTTTAGATCCACCAAAATCGAAGAAAAGGTAGTGGTCTTCCACGATGTACGATGGTTTGAGACGATCCTTTGGCACGACCCTCACTACAAAACTGGCATTTCACGGTTTAAGGAAATTTGATAGGTCGTCAACTAGTCAAACGCTTCGAGATAATAATCTTTAGACGTCTCGCATCTTTACTACTGGAGAGGTATCGAGATGAAACGCAACTATTCGCTTTTTAGCATCTCGCTTGGATCAGGTGCTGTTC